CAAAAGCACTTTGCACTTCGGATATTCAAATCACATACCAAACCTACGGGCACTAATTGCTAACTGATTGAGTGCGGATAGCATAGCTTGGGTATCATCGCAAAATAAGACAATATCATCCGCATACTAAAGGTCGGAAGTTTTCTCCAGGTAACAGAGCCACAACACCATTACCTACATCCACCAGATCTGTTTCCAAAATGTCATCAATAACAAAGTTGAGTAGGAGTTGTGAGATTGGGCAACCCTGTCTAACCCCACTGCTTGAATGGAACAATGGAAATAGGTGGTTCTATGCCCTCACTATGCCTGAGGTGTTTGTATATAGGGCTTCCAAGATGTTAATAAACTTCTCAGGCACACCCTTCTTCAATAGACAATCCCAGAGAACAGTCCTGTCCAACGAATCGAAGGCAGCCTTGATGTCAAGAAACACAACGGTTGTTGGCCTGCAGTAAGCATAGAGGTGCTCTAATATTTGGTGGAGGGTGAAGATATCATCGATACCTCCTCGACCAAAACGGAAATCAGCCTGCTCCTCACGAGTCAATGTTTCTTGTGTTTTGAACAATCTACGAAGTATGACGGAAGCCAATAGTTTGGACGCAGTCAGAAGTGAATTTATCCTTGGATATTTGTTGCAGAAACGTCATGAACCCTTTTTAAAGATACGGACACCTATCGACTCATTCTATGATGTTAGGACACTAACTGTCAGCAACTCAATTCCTTAACCAGAAAGTCACCACCATATTTAAAAAGGGCCGGAGGCAAGTCATCTGAGTCTCGTGATTTGTGGCGCTTCGAGGGTTGGAGTTCCTTGAGGACCATAGAGAGTAATCAATGTTGCCAGAGAAGCAGACCAGTTGAACTGCTCCTCGAAAAACTCTGCCCATCGTCTAAGACGTCGGTAGATGTTAGTGATTGACATCTCATCACCTTCACAGATTGTTTCGTTCACACCAGACTTCTTGCTGCCAGTGACTCGGATGAATTGAAAGAGCTCCGGCAGTTACCAGATGCAGCTGCTGATTCCAACTCATTGGCACGTTCCAACTAACAGACTTCTCTGTCTTTACGCAATCTTTGCCCAATTTCATTACGTAATAGTCTTCGTTTATAGCCAAACTCGCGGTTACCCAGAGTAGATCAACGTGCCTAAATGGGTTGTAAGGAGCCTAAAGAAACCCAGTGTTTATAGGCGGAACGTTTCGCGAAGCCGCAAGCGACTTTACTCGTCATTTTCGTGGCATCATGCAATTGCAACCAATGCTCATCTATACTTGATGATGGGATGATAGCTAGCCCTGAATCTAGCTCGGTTTGATATTTAGTTGCAAAACAAGCTACAGCCAATTTGCTGACATTAAGCCGTTCAGGATGGTGAATTTGTCGGCCACTGAAGCGTAAGGTGAGGTTAGCGCAAACAAGGGCATGATCAGATTACAGACAGGTACTCTGAAAAGAGTGGCAGTCTTGTACACAACCACGCCAGCGGTAGCTGATCACGATGTGACCAATCTGAGTCCAGGTTTACGATGCAGAGGGAGGACACCAAGTGGCACATCGGCGATGATTGTGCCGGTAGTTAGTGCCAGCCAAAAACAGAATGTGGCCTATGAGAAGCTGCATAAAACGGTCACCGTCATCTGACCAACAAGTTTTCATCGGCCACCTAAACGACTCTTCTGTGTCTAGACACCCGATCTGAGTATTCATGTATCCGGCTAGTACTACATTATCTGTCGAATGCATTTTCTGTTGAGAAACAGTTAACTTTTGACAAAACTCATACTTGATCGCATGTGGGCTGCAATCTGTCTGAGCGTTGACAGAGATGATGAAAAGATATCGTTTCTCACACCGATTTCTTTGTATTTTGATGGAATTTTTCAGATCTAACTGCACATTACCGACTGTTAATGCGGATCCAATCGATTAGTGCTGCCTCAGCTCTAGCGCTTAGTGCGACATCTCCAATACGAACGTCAAGACAGTTCTATTGTACGGAGCTGAAATGTGGAGAACTACTACAACCATCATCAAGAGGGTACAAGTACTTATAAATAGCTGTTTACGAAAGATAATCAACATCCATTGGCCGGATACCATCAGCAACAGCCTACTGTGGGAGAAAACAAACCAGCTGAACAGGGAATTAGGAAGAGACGTTGGAAATGGATAGGACATACATTATGCAATCATCAAACTGCATCACGAGGCAAGCGCCAACTTGGAATCCTGAAGGGAAACGAAGAAAAGAAAGATCAAATAACACATTACATCGAGAATTAGAAGCAGATATGAAAAGAATGAATAGCAACTGGAAAGGATTGCTTGGGACAGGGTTGGTGGAGAATGCTGGTTAGAGGCCTATGCTACTTCATAAGGAGTAACAAGCGTAAGTGAGTAATTAAGTATAGCAATCATTGATTTGAGTGAGGTTTGTGTTACTGTATATGTGCCCAAAACGAAGCAGGTCATTCAATAATGTAAAGTTCCGTAACTAAACAATCGAAAACGTGTTTTAACTGAACTTTCTGTCAATACGTTTAAACTATAATCTTATGTTAAATAATAATTTGCATGATTTTTCTGCACTAATAATCATCGTTTTACCCAATACCATATACGTGATTATGTTGTGAACGAGAACACAGGTTGGGACGGCTAATGTGTTTTAATACAAACTTACAGAATATCTTTTTAAGATATGACGACCACGCACTAAACACTTCTTTGAAAAATTCCATCATTTGTCCTTCACATTCTGTATGCTTCTTCAAGTTACAACTCTTATCTATTCTCCCTTCTATTCTTTTTAACACAAACTTCCCAACCTTCTGCTGCCAGGATTTCCACTTCCGGTCGGTGCTATATACTACTTATGTCGACAGACATAAGTAGCATACACCACAATTCCAGCAAAAATGTACCGTCTTATATTCGTTCAACTTGTGAATACTGAAACGGAAGTTTTAAGTAATTGGTCTTGCATTAAGTTTCAAGCCTGACATATGAGTACATACGTTTAGCATAGAGAAGGAAATTTTTTGGTAATATTTACACCGTTTGGAAATAGGTGGCCGAGACGTTTGGATGGTTGCCAAATAATTTAGTTCTTGATACACTGTAATTCTTTATTCATTAAAATATTTATTTGAATATTAAAAGTTAAGTGACACATCACAAGCAATAGACTAATATGTTTTGTTAAATATTTGAAGACATTTTCTGAAAGTCCTCAGTCAGTTATTGTCAGCGTAAGGCCTGTAACGAGTGTGCATCAGTCCGAGTTGCAATATCACATAAAGTCTTGGGTCTTAATTTTACACTTGTCTGGAATTAAAACATAAATCAGGTTTTGCATTTATCAACACATTATTTCTATCAACAGTCTGCTAAAGTTTCAGCCCTTAGCCAAATGACTTGGTTTAGTCAGGTTCTCGTTATACGACAGCTTTGAGATTCCAGATATCAGATTAGTTGCGGTTCTTCAATCTTTCTCCGTTAGCTCAATTATTTTTAGACGGGCTGATTGCTTCCATGCAATACTCGAGATTTGGTTCAACGAAAATTATACAATATCACAAAAGTTACTATATTCCCTTTATCTGGGAAGAGGTATCATCCTACATTGACTAATAATCATTGAAGTTTCTACGAAGATACAGAGGTGTCGAATGGTATTACCTAACCTACATCATCTATGACATCAGTAAAGCATCTAAATATCTACAAAAAAATCCCTATGATATGTTCGTGAGATATGTTTTTTAATATCGAAATGTTGAAATCAATATTAAATAATGCTTACATGATAAACCCATCATCTTAGTCAAAAGGAACGAATCAGCCAGAAATCGCACAAACTAGAAACGGCTGAAATGAGTTAGATGTATATTATGTATCCAAAGCTTTTGTACTTTTTACAAAAGCAGGAGTCTTGTCATAGTTAGTAAGGATTTCCAACTGTAAAGTTGTTCCCGATAAGCTCTACCTTTAGGTATAAAGCTATAAATCCATCAATATTATATCATAATGAACAATATAAACTGTAGATTTGTATTGAATCAATCTGTGGTTCTGAACTACACTGCTTATAATTTCAATAGTCGCTCATCATTTTAGTTGAAATCGATTTAAAGAGAATTAATAATCTGATATTCTGAGAATCCGCATGATTTTCATTGTTTGCTTAAAATATATAAACACAACTAGGAATAAAATATACATCTTGACGTTTGAAAAGAAAAAATCTTCACAATTTAAACCCTCATATTTTGAAATTTATCTCGGTTATTCTATTAGTTTCGATACACAGTCTCAAAAACCACAACATATTCAGTGAAGTAGACAAACATTTGCGCTTTAAACTATAAATATTCCTACCATTATTTTATATTTATCAATAATATTTTGCTTAGTTAAACTGTAGTCCATAAACAAAGGAGAAGAAATAATCTGACAGGCTGTTTCACATTAGGCCATGACCTTGAAATTATTGAATAACCTTGAAGCTAGCGCCAGATAACCGATAGACCAATCACAATATTTTATCGATCCATTAAGCTTGCTAGGGTTATTTGTCCGCCCTGCTCTTATAATTGTTATTGTTTCTTGTCCTAGCCGGCCGTAATTTATTAGCTGTTCAGAGTTTTCTCTTGGAATTAAGCTATTTTATCCAATTTTGATTTGTTCGACTAGAACTATAGAATGAAAATATCATTCTTAATGTATATACCACCTACAACATGAAAAAGACTAGATTTTTGTGGATTCGTGATTTACCTGCAAAATGTAAAGATGCAGATTTGAGAAATGTTCTTGAAAGGTAAATTTTTAACAGCGGTTTTTTTTCTCTATTTTAATACGTTATTTCTATTTTTGTTGAGTTTTATAACTTTTCAGTGAAACTTTTCTCAGTTTTGTTGCTATTACCTTTCATGTGTATCAGTATATTGATTTTATACATTTTAAAATATATTTCTCATTTAAAGGCATGGTGGTGGATCAATTCAAAAAATTCGATTATTTAAAGAAGGTCATATGCGTCATGCTATAGTGACGTTTGTGGATATTAAGTCAGCTGCCGCAGTTATTAATACAGAGAATAAAATTAATGATTCATTATTAAAAATGGAATATTGTAGTTCAGCTGATACAACAGTAGGAATTATAAATCATAAAAATATCAATTCACATCGTAATAATACAGAAATTACAAATCAATTGCCGACATTTAATAATAATAATAACAGTAATCATAATAATTCGGATCGTAAAACAGAAAAGTGAGTTCACCGTATATTGATTGTTGTTATGTTCTTACTAGTTGTTGTAATTAGGTTTTATATTGTTTAGTGATATTATATCGTCTATCATCCTTAGGTTATTCTGATTGATACTGACCTATTTTGTTAATGTTCTCAATATCTTAACTTTGTGAATAAGTTTTGTATGATAGAAATACTTATTGTTTGGTAGATTTTGCCTACTTAGAGTAATACACTTCCATGGATTTTTCCTTATTCTTCTGTAATCTAGTGAGTTGATTTGGGTAAATCTTCAAATTTTACTGATTGTCTACTATTTCCAGTTAAAATGTCACTTTTTGTAATATTCCTAAGATGTTTAGCTTTATGTATTCTATGTAATCATTATAAACTACTGGTAGGGTATCCTTAACATAGATAAGAATTGCATTATCTTAAATGTTACTTTCTATTCTTCTGGTTGTGATAAGCTAAGGTACATAGGTTATTTGTACTGTTCTAGATTGATTGGTTAATATGAGGTGAAATTAAGCAGACTGTATAAGTGATGAATTAGTATATAAATTTGTAGAATTGCAATTTTTTTATATATTTAGGCTCGGAACGATGGTGATATCTTTTGCGTTATCAAATAGATAGGAGCTTCATAAAATTTTGTATGTTTCTAATCTATATAATAGTTGTATTATTGTCTTTTTTCTCTGCTAAGCATCTATTAGCGCTTCATTAATCAAGTCCCTTTATTTTATTTATTGTAATTACAGTAAAAACAGTCTTGAACTCTTATTGTATTTAGAGATGTTTATTGTACGTGTTTTCCTAATCATTTTATTTATGGTTGGTAAAAATATATGCACAACTCAGATTCATATTCCCTTTTCTAATTAACTGAAATTGATTTTCGTTAACTTTTGATTGATATAATATCATTTCTGTATTGTCTATGATGTTTAGGTGTAATATGATTAGCGTTTGTGCCTTGTGGATCATTCCAAATATCGATTTTATACATGAATTCAATTTTTGTACAAATAGAAGTGTGTTCTAACGTACCTCCTTGTTTATGTCATCCTTTCTTTAACCCCATAGTTTACCAATGTCAGTGTATTTTGTGTAATTCTAGAGCTTCGATACACGTATTTGTTTAGAATTGATAAAGGTTCAGTATAAATGTTTTTTTCTCTTAAGATAATCAATCAGTCTGTATGACAAGAATTTAATTCCAAATTGTTATGGTACATAAAATAGTTTCCTACGAAATGTAAGTGATCCATCGGTTTTTAGGATCTAATCCATTATTATTCCTTGTAAATGTCCTTGTACACTGAGTTTTTCTTTTATGTCAATCAGTAATGTCTCTGTAACATTAGATCTAAGCATGGAATCATTCATAACCATAATTCTGATAACGTTCGTCTTATTGAATTATCTAAATTTATCGAATGGACTAGTTATTTAACATTTAATATTTTGTTTTTATTCTTACTCCATTAAAAGACAGTTTATGTACATTCATTGTTAAATCAACTTCGTTTCATACTCTGTTTATATTATGAGGATTAAAGATTTCTAATGACATGTTATCCGATTTCACTTTACTATTATCCTCATTTATGTTATCTATTCTCATTGATTTTACTGTTTTATTATCATTATTCTTTGTTTTGCAATTCCTTGATTTATATGAAAGAAGTTAAGTTTATAGCTTCTGTTTCCATAGCACCTCATTATTCCTGGTATGTATCCAAATCTTGCATAAAAACCACTATTTACTACTTTCTTAACTCCATCTTTTATTGTTACTAGTATTACTATAATATAACTTCATGTATAATGATAGAACACTTGACTAAATCTGGCGTTTAGTCAAATATTTAACATTTCTTTACATCACACCTGACTACAATTTAATGTAGGGTGTTTTCTAGTTTCATTTTATCGAATTACTTCTTACAATCTGTATTCATATACTTATTATGATTTATTTTACATGAGTTAAGTTGATTCTATTAAACTTTACACCATTAATAATTTCCCATAGTGTTCTTTCTTTACAATATAAATGATTGAGATTGTTTACAGTTATTAAAGTCATATACTAATGAATGTTTATTTAAGAAGTTCAAATCAAGTATTCCTTTACCATTACCAGTCAATAATTTATAAATTACAGCTATTCAAAATCTATTTTCACATGAAAACAGAATTACATAGTTTTTCATTCATATGACATAGTATTATGACCATTCAGTTATAACAGCTTGCCTAAATTGCAAATTAATAAGAATGTGGATTCTGGTTCAGACACTCAACTACCATGGAACTCCATCTCCTTACGATGCTTCACTGCCTTGTGGTTCAGACCTTTAAGTCAAAGGCTCCGGGTGCGACCCCCCGAGAAAATCACCTGCTTCGGTCTGGCACCCGGGCAGTATCAAAGCCCTCATACAAATGAAATGAGATTTCTGTGGCACATATGTATCTAGTGCCCCCTTGTACCAGTATTTATGTGTTCAAATCAAATCACTCTCAATAAATATGAAAATTTATACTTGCTCGACTAATCTCTATCTCTACGTTGAAATAAATGTTATGTGGTTTATACTGAATTGGTAAACTGCAATTCAGTGGTGTTGTTTCATTGTTCAGTAAGTAGTGAGGTTTAACCAACAGAGGAGTTGAGATCTTTAATTCGCAACAAGAATTTTGAGAAAACGAATCTACTTTGGTTATAATAGTAGTTTTGTCTTAAGTATTATAATTCAGGTAGGCACTTTCTGCTACGATAGTATCAGAACAATTTGCTGCGAAATTTCTTGAGTATTTCGTTTTGTAATTATTGTTATTTATCAATTCGTCAATCAGTTTAGTGTATTTGCATATCACAAAAGATTCTATAAATAATTGATTATTCATCTATCAAGCGACGAGTTCTTAAAATGTAATTTATGTTATTCATACACTTGTTTTGTGCATATAAATTAGTTGGGTTTAAGGTAGAATAATTTCCCCGCTCGTCCCATCCACCCAACGTTTGTCTATCGCTTCTGTGCTTAATAGTATTCTGAGACAAGATCTTATCTACTCACTGAAGCTTTATATTTTCAGGCGTATTTGTAAATTAACTGAACTATGTCATTCAGGAGAATTATGCTCAAAATAATTGTTACTAGTACTCTTATTCTGGATTACTAACTCAAAAAAAATCAGTTTCATTGTTATTTCCAATGATTAATTATTCTTCTATCCATTGCTTTTTAAAAAAATGATTCGTACATTATTATATGGAGTTTAGTTTTCATCAAATTATTCACAATAAGTAACGACAGTATTCTTTGAAATCAATTACACTATATACAATCTTAAAGATCACAGAGTAATGTCATTGTGTTGAAAACAATTTTTTCTTTTACCATCCTAGTTCATTTGATTTCCATTTGATGTTCGTTGATTCGATAAGTTCTATTTTTCACCAAAATATATAAGTCTAAAAACTGTACCCTTTTTTGTGGGGCTGGGGCTTTTAAATCTTCATTGTTATTGTTATTGTTTGAATCTATATCATAGACTGGAAAAAAATTTTCTTAGACTTTTTTCTTAACCGACATGAAAATACGCTTGTGATTAATAATGAAGTGACGTTTCTACTGATGATTAAATTTGTGATTTATGTTGTTTATCGATAGCTGAAAATGTCGAGTCACTTAAAATCTTTTCGTGTACTTGTCTCTTTGGCTTTGTTTTAATTAATTCCATAATGAATTTTCTGTTGTGTTATTGTTGTTCAAGTTTAGCAACGTAAATTTCTGCGGAAACGTCAAACTTCACGCTAGCGAAATTATCTAGTCATAATTCTTGATATCACTTCTTGTTAGTGACAATATCTAATCGGTGTCTATAATACGATTTTCATCTAGGTATTGTGAATTCTAAACTCTGAAATATGTTTATTAATTTTACTCAAGAAATAAATTTTGTAATCGCATCATTGTAGCGTAATAGTAATGATGTCTGATGATGTAGAGTTAAGTATTGTTATTCTTTTGATAAGAAATATCAAACCGTGTACGATTGAATATGGTTCTCAATATAAATAGTTCAGTATCTTCCATACTACAGCACAGGAACTTTCTTAAACATGAGAAGTTGGAGAAATGCTTCTGTCACATTTTACTGTCAGAAGAGTGGTATTAGTTCCATAAATAAGGAGGTTCCAGAATTCATAAGACTGCTTAAAGTTAGATGTTCCTCAGTATCATATTCTCAGTGCTGACCGTACTAAATTCTTATTTTTGGCTTGTTATTTATGGATAAATAATTTAATTAGCTACCGATAAAGAAGCTTTAATTACGTTTTATCCATTTGCTTGTTTTTTTTCAATCATTTATATTTGTAAATCTTTACAATCTGAATAAAATAATCAGGGAAGCTTCGATATTTATCTATCAAATTCATTCTGATCATTATCTCTGAAAAAGTTCCGAGGAAAGTTTGTTTTTCCACTATTTCCATAATAAGAATTCAGTCCTATTTACCATTGTAACAATTTACATCCGATGGGACTACTTAATATTTAGTTGCTTACTGGTTGGTCACTTCCAACACTCCTGTGTAAAATTATTGTATCACAAATCTTCCAATCATGTTTAACTAACAATACAAAGTTTAGTTGACTATTCTTTTATAATTTATTGTTTTAACTCAAAACTGTGTTTACACTATTTGTATTCCTAGACATAACACCTCACCAAAATCCTCCCGTATAAGTGAATTTTTTAATTGCTGGTAAAACAATAACTTGTACTCAGTATTATGATTCAAATTTTTCCTAGCTGTGAGTACACGTTAATCAATATAACTTATCCTTATACGTTCGTGTTCGCAAGATTGTAATTAGTCAATTGAGATGGTGAGTATTCTTTCATGTTCATTCACCACAAATTGTGAATCAACATAAAAGCGATTGATTAAATGGTTTTATTTTCTTCTCATTACAACCTTGATGTAAAAAGTTTTTTCTTTTCACTTAATCCAACTAACCATCGTAATATACTCGAGTTGAAGGAAGATGTTACAAAAAGTAGTCGTAGTACGTACGAAGAACTAATAGTAACAAGCTAACGAAACCAAAGAAAAAAGTGTTACAATGGTTTGATCATAATTCAAATAGTTTTAGTATGCCCTTTAGTTCTCGATCATAGGAAGTTGTCTGACTCATGGAATGAGCTAATCTGAATAAGTAACTATGACTTGGAACAGAAGGTCTTAATCTCTTTATTTAACTGTTCAAATAGTGGAGTCATCTTTTTGTGTTTCTACATATAATTGTTTTTCATAACTTTGCTAAGTATTATTATTATTGTGTACAGTGCAATAATTGGTTTTGCTCATTTTCTCAGTTTTCTTTTAAAATCGGTCTTAAATGGTTGTTCTTCTGAAACAAATAGCAAAGCACACAGACAAACTGAATCTTTTATATGATTTGACAAATTTCTTTTAAGTTATTTGGAGTTGTTGATGTTTATCTCTCCAACTTGTAATTTCAGTAACCTAGATTCCATGGAATTTGTGTGACTTATTAGTTAGTTTACTCTCTCAGAAACCTTAGTTTTCTATGTACTTCAAATAAATGTAAACATAGAGATTGAAAGTGTACATGATTTTTCACAATTTGTATCTTGCGTACACAATGTTTGCACTTATAAATAGTTGACATGTCTTTTTTAAAAGAAAGCAATGTATTAAATGAACGATAGATAGTAATGTAACAAATATTTTAATATGTAACTGATTATACTAGTCACAGTACCATAAAATAATACTTTTGATGTTAAGACTGTCGAATTCTGTGTGATGCTATGCAGCTGTTAACTGATTCACATATCTCAGGTTCTACGTTGCATATAACCGACTGATTAGTGTAGCCTTTAACATAAATTGTATGATGTTTAACAATACAATTATTTTCATGCTTACCTTTGTCCCTACTTCACACTTCCCATGCGTAATTTTCAGTGATATGATTCTTTTTGTATTACAAAAACACTAATAGTGTTATTCAAAACCGTGACTTGTATCGGAATATAAATTTAGTTATGTGTTTAATGTTCGACAAAGTTCATAATTTTGTATTACAAACAAATTATATCTAGCCCCTAAGATGTTGTTTTATAATGCCCGAATTTGTTTCATATTATGTAATAGTATATTCTATTGTCATTTGGATGTCCATTTCGATACGAGAATTTTCTCAGAGATTTTCTTTTTCTAGACTTAGTCTGATCAAAATAATAATTCCTACTTACCTAAATAACGTAATAAAGATGGTAACAGTGTCTGGTTTATACTATATTGTTTAACCTGTCGTACGAAAATCAATTGAATATTTAGCGGGATTATTTAACTACACATCCCTTTTCCCGTTTCTTTTGTACTAGTAAACAAATGGGTCACACGAATACCAGTTATTTCATAACAAGATTCGTTTTGTACACTTTGATGAAATGAGGTCGCTGAGTTGTTCACATAGTAATTGTTCATCCACAAACAACCTAGGTCACAATGAATCGGTTCACTTTTCCACAACGAGATTAAGTTAACTAAATGCATACAAAAAATGTCGAAGTAATAATAGTATGATTGGGCAAATGACTAACCGTAGGAAATAAGATTTAGAAAGGAGTAAAGAGTTTCAAATAACTTTAAATCTAAGAATCAAATGAATGATATAGAAATAAGGTTTTACACCACTTCTGCCGATTTTGATACATATCACCTTACGGTCTCCAAATATTCAATCACTCAGCACTCAACTAACCCTGTTCCCCTAATTTCAGTTTTAACCAAATAGTGAGTTGTCACTCAGTCTTATACAATCAATTTTAGTTAGAGCCAAGTACACGAATTTTCGCTTGATATTTGTCTCATTATTCATCCTAATAAAGAAAATAGGTCCATCATTCAAAATCTATACATAGTTCATATTTTTTTCTCTTCTCTCAAAACCAGTACTTTTTGAAAGAAAGAAAGTATACCAATACTTCATGTATATTTGTTTTCTTAAAGTAAATCATGTTTAAATCAGTAATATATTTCGTTCTACTTAGTAGTATATTATGTGACAGCCATATTCCTTTTTCATGCATATACATGTTCTTTTCGCATTATTCACGTTCGATTATTGCTTTTTTTTAAACAATATATTTAATATACCTTTAGTAAGTAATGCAATCGATTGTTTTTCTTCAATCAGATGCATAATGATGCTTACACTTGATACGTTTACGTATATGTAGAAAAAAAATCTTTTTCCTTTTGGTAAAGCACTCCTACATATTTGTGTTAAACACTTTTAAATGATTAACATTATTTAAAGAGTTTTGATGGCATTCTATAACTAAGTCGTTTCAAGTTTAAACTCATCAGTCCATTCAGCAAATTGTGTGAAACTCCAAATGTTAAAGTAGCTAACTAATCAACGAAAAGGAACTTTCGCATTTTTCGAATTCAATCTTTCGATCTTTATCTATTGAAAACCAGAAAACACTGATCATTTGTTTCGTCCTAGTCTAGGAAATGTGCTTATCCACGATCACATCGAACCTGGGGCCTTCAGATCTCGCGGCGAGCGCTAAATCTTTAAATCACTGAGCTGGTATTTAATGGTTCAGATGTTTAACTTCAATCGATTCTCAATATTTTTAAATATATATACGTATACTTAGTGCATTTAAGTTGTTCTCATTCTACCTGGATATATAGAATTACCCTAATAGTGTCACTCATATTTTAGCTATTCCAGAATTCTCATCGTTTATTAAACCAATTTAAGATCCAAAGGTGTTTTATTTTTGCTCCTAAAATACGTTTGGTTTCAAACACAATACTTGCTTATTACATTTACCTTTGATCGATTTCACTGTGAAGTTTAAAGAGGAAAATGATGAATAACTTTCGAGAAAGGAGAATATTCCATTCCATTTTATTGAGTCGACTGAATGATCTAGGAAATCTTTTGTGCACCACCTACTGTTTGTTGCTAACTCACTTTGTAGTTATTTCATTGTTGTGATGGTAGCTTTGAAGTAATGAGGTATCATTGTTTGGAATTATACTTTCGAAAATGAAACGAATAGTCTAGTTGAGCCACTGTTGTCTATAAAAGTTGCATTAGTTAACAAAGCCTACCACTAAGTACTGATCTATGTAATTCATCCTATATATATATATATATATAATACGCCTTACTACCGTCTTATCAGGATCACACTTAGACAGTCTATGTTCTAGGCCAAGTTTTATCACCAAATCCAAAAGACACAGTTTTTTTCTTACTTAATGATATTACTTGGTTGTCAAAACTTAGAGTACAAAACATAATTTAGTTTGGATATGTATCCTAATGGTTGAATGCGAAGTGAATGGTTTAATTACCAAGTTATCATCACCTAACTGTTTTTAAAACGTGGATACCCTCTTTTAAAATCCCCAGCCCAGCAATCACCCACTGTCTTCTCATTATTCCCAACCATAGTTTTATGTAGTTTAACATTAAAATTCTGATCAGACGAAGTTTCCTCTGATTTTAATCAAACTATTTTATATATTCATGTACTTAAGCAAAGTATATTTCAAAAAGTTATTGGTTAATTTGATTGTATAAACTATTTCACATAATGACCAATATAACTTTTTCAATGATGTAGTTACAGTGACGAAATTGTATAACTCGATAGTTCAGTGATACTCGGTTTACATTCAGATTGAATAGGGTTGGTCACCACACTTGATTGTAGTTGTATTCTCCATAAATTCACAAATACAATATTACACAGATTTTCGGTTTGACCAATTAGCTCTTAACAATTCATATAAATCATGTGTTTCTGCGGTTGTATACAGATCACTTTGAGATGGTAGCTTGGTGATTAAAGGGTTCAATTTACATTCTATAAGTTACTCGTTCGAACTACTCCTTACGTGTTATGGTTTGGACAACCAAATAATATCACCAGTACTCACACTCGAAACCGAGTACACTGCTAGGTACCCAGCTAATGAATTAAATAAATACATTTTCTATTAATTGAAGTTCACTCTGAATTTTCTGAAATATTTCTGTACATTAGATTTAAATTCATCTCTTATCATTAAAATTTCCAGTATTAATAATATTGTCTTTAAAAAAATTTATGACAGGGAGTTGAATACTAACGCTCTTCATAAAGGATCAAATGATTCACATCATTCACTTCCTAACAGTGATCAACTGGGAAGAGGACCACTGATATTTAAACGTACAACTAACAACAACACTTCATCAAATGTTGTTAACAATGTTCAGATGTTCAGTCAAGTATTACGTCCAGTTCAAAGTTCCACATTAACAACACGTATGTCAAATTCCTATCGTGGTTTAAAAATTAGCGATCTCCCACCTCCAAGTAAATTATCTGACGCTCATTTAAGACAAAGTTTATTTACTGAATTTCGACGATGTGGTCGTATCCAATCAGTGGTTCTACCTCCAACAAATAATGGTTCAACAAATACAACTAGGTTAGCAATTGTAACATTTCGACGTGCAGAAGAGGCCGAATGTGCTTATCAAGCAATTCAAGGTGGTGCTAAAATTCTATTCTCTACTCCTGTTTCAGTTGAATTACATCCAGGGTCAAATGGTAAGTGTTGTGTTGGCTTTTTCTTTACAGTTTTTTGTCTTGTTCTGTAATATGGATCAATGTAGCTTACAATAATTTACCGAAGCTGATCGTTTTTTAAAATTCTGATAATGATTTCGCCTTGGTGTGTTGATGTAATGTAGGAACTTGAATCTTTGCTTTTATGTACCTGATTTCATGTCTCGTAATCAACTAGATGTTTATCATTTTAGTTGAATGAAAGTGTTATTTTCTCCTGTATATTTGTCCGAAATGATGAGTTTTAACCATGAAGATTTCATTGAGGTCAAGAACCAATCAATATTAGGAACCACCATTGAAAACTTGGAAGCACTGGACAGCCGTTTCATCCTATTGTGGAACTCCTCAGTAGTACGCATCCACGACCCTGCTCACGGGATTCGAACCCAGGGCCTTCGGTTTCGCATGCGAACGCCTAACCTACTAGACCACTGAGCCGGCATCCAATGGTGTCAATGTCTAACCTCAACCAATCCACGAAGATGCGCGACCATCTTCCATTGTACTGAGATAGACACCTGTTTCTACCCGACATGGATTAGCTCCACTGGTCACGGTTTCTCACCAGAACTCCGAAAATTTTCTCACGAAGCTAGTCACTAGTGAGTACATGGTAATTATTAGTTTAGGGGTTGTGGAGATTTTTAAGTTTTTGATTGAGATCATGAACCGATTGATGATCCAGGTTTTCAATGGTGGTGTAACATCAATCGGTTCATGATCTCAATCAAAAACTTAACAATCTCCACAACCCCTAAACTGATAGATACTTTATGTGTTGGATTCATTTCAAGGCAAAATGATAAAATTTTCTTTTATCCATTGCATTTTAGTTAATGATGAACTTTCTCTAAAACGTTCTTCAACTTCAAGTACATTGATTGGAAACACTACTAAGCCGAGTAGTAATAATAGTAGTGGTAGTAGTAATAGTAATAATAGTGACACATTGATGAATTCACTGTCTGCTTCTACTACCACTACTACTACAACACAATCGGGATTAAATAAAACTGTTAACTCTCATTCAACTGATGATCATTTATCAAATAACAGTCAAACAATAACAACAGTAAATAAATCACCAACACGAACACTGCATGTTGCTGGTCTTACTGTTGGACCTACTGGACCTGTTACATCTGAACAACTGACGACGGCATTTCGTAAATTTGGTGATATATAGTGAGTTCCTGATAGTTTATATGCATATATTGTAAAATTTTAAGTGTTGTTTTTTTGGTATCGGTATTACTTTACTAATACAAACAATCATTAAAGAGAGAGAGAGAATAGAGAACAGTATATTTATGCTTGTGTTATCAGTTGTCTAAAAGAATATCAACGTTCGTACACTGAAAAGAGTCAGCGGTAAACGCTCACTTCTATTAATGTTTTAAAACAAAGTTGATTAGAAATTATGACCGATAATAAATATCCCATTAGATTTGGCATCCCCAGGTTGTTCCCGTAAAATTCCTCAACTATGTTCTTCACAAAATTTTTTCAATCTCTCATATTGTTTATTTTTAGAGTCGTTTAAAGATCCCCATCATAATAAAAGACTAATATTTGAATGCAAATATTCTCCGTAAATTCTCTTCAGGTTCTACAATTATATATCCGAATTAATAATCCGAAAATATGGCCAGGTTAAGGGCAAAGTACATCGTTTGAAGCATATGAGTTTAGGATTTTCAAACAAAATAGAATAAAATTGTTAATGTTCATATGACTCATATAGAATGTTAACTTGAATCTACATTCTTATTCATCCCTCCTTATTACGTCTTACTAATTTTTTCACATAATGTAGTCTTCCATTAAACATTTGACCGAATTGTAATTGCACTATTATTTCTCTCACCCTATTCGACCCATATTTTTAGAATGTTCAACTTAAACCCAGTTCTAGTTCAGCTCTTATTCAATTCGCTGAAATGCGTGGTCCCATTCGCGCAATGAATGCTCATGCTCGTGAACCGCTTCGTTTAGGTGGTCGACCACTCTCACTTGCTTATACACCAAGTACACCGACAACTAGTTTATGGATATCAGACCTACCACCTTCATTGGCTAATTTGACAGATGAAGAATTATTACATACGTTATCACAAATTGCTCCCGTTCAAGAAGTAAGTATTATTAATTTTCCCTATGTATATATAGGGAGAGTTACAGCTAAGTAACCCACTAGTATTGTAAATTATAGTTTCAATATGAATTTGATCCCAATTAGCGAAATAGGGAAATCATGTAATTGTTTGACTATTTATTAGTGTAGTCTTTTTTTCGCGGGAATTCTAAATTTCATATATTTCACACAAAAATTTCTAAAAACGAACTCATCTAATTTCACTCCTTTGTTGCATGTATGTATGCGTATTTGTTTTCACCATGATTGTTTATGCTAAACTGTGCTATTTGCTTGTCTGTACTATGTACTTCGACAATTACGTTGATTACATAGTGACGATGATGTTGGTTCCCTTGTATATTATTATTATTATCATCATCAGATTAACGTCAAATTTGATGCATTTGTATACAATCAGAAATTTTACATGGAAAAATTAGTTTTTTTCAACCATCATATTATGACCTTTTGTATCCACAGTAAAAACACGTTTACACTTGTAGTATGTAGACACTTGACACTTTTGTCTATAAATCTATCTTCACTACTACCTTAAATTGTATTTATCCCCTTACCCGTTTTTTTAAACTGTTTGTAGTTTACTACACCCACTCACATTCTTTCGCGTTTATTATTTCTTATACGTACACATCAGGTATGGTGTGTATATGAAGTTAGTTTCACTTGGTTTAAGTTATTGATGCGATTAAAGTTTGATTTTTCAGACCAGTTTTGTTTTTTGTTTTTACAAATCAGATTTTTAATTGTATGTATCATACATTTTTATATAAAGGAATTACTTTTCTATTCAGTTCACCGATGTACACTTTTAATAAATCTTTTGTATTATGTTTGATTGTGATCTGTAGACTGTCACAAGCATACTAAGATAATGTTCTGTTCGCATAGACACTACAATTTGCGTGTTACAGGAGACGTTTATAATTCCTTACGAATATGAAAACTTTCCAAAATATCGTATAATGTTTTCCCCTTTTTTTAAATCAAATTCCAAAGTTATTTCGTAGTTAACATCACGGCATAATCCTAGTTAAATAACCGTTGAAAACCAAGATGTACTGGGAAACTGTTTCTTGCTAGTATTAGCTCCTGAGCAGTGTGTATTCATGAACAAGCCACCAGACATTGAACCCAGAACCTTCGGTCTTACGCACGAGCACTTAACCTCTAGACCATTGAGTCTGTATTCAGTGTTGGCGGGATTGTGGAGTTTCATACCACTGTCCAGTGCTTCCGGATTTTCGATGGCTGCTTAACTAAGACCATTCGTTTATGTTAAGTATGAAATTGAATAAATCTCTATTTTCCCACCCCTACAGTAATTTTAAAGTTATTACTAAGTTTATTATCTTCTTCTGATCATTTGTAACCTTTCGTGTTTTTGCTAACTAATCGTAATGGTTAAAATTCTTTTATATCCTTCCACTCCCTAGATTCTTTCGGAATCTTAATAGTGAAAAGTGTATTAATTTAGAAATTGGCTAAAACGTCCGTGGTTCAAGTATGAGTGTTTAGAGTGACATTCAACTCCGAGTTATTTAGTCTCTACATCAAGACTCATATATACTCAGATTTTTTTCTTATCCATCACTATAACTCTAAGTCTCACTTGTTTTTTGCATAGAAAGTTGACAAAATGTTAGGATGTTATTAAAATTGTACAGTTTATTCTAGTCGGTATATATTTTTCGCCTTGTTTATCATCGATTCATACATGCTCATTTGTACCAGTTCATACGTTTCATGAAGCAATTGATTCGTTTCCCACCTACATTTCTAACATACATAGGGCGAAGGAAAATGCACAGTTTTTGTTTAGAGGATAAACATAGAAAGTGAAGCCTACTACTTTGACAACTGCTTATTGCCTTGTTTCTTAAAAAAAAAGCTTTATAGATGAAAAGTAACAAACACGTAGTGTTAGTCAGTCAGTCACTCAGCTACAACGTAGGACCAGGCGCATACATGCATCGGTCCAAGTTGCCATACCTCATTAACACAACAAGATGGATACCGGATTCATAAAAGTAGTTAATTCAGAGGTCTACCAACATGGCTCAGACTAGAAGTTAGTGACTTCAAGCACTGATGCCACGTTTTGGTTTGGCCACCCCTAACTTTCTTCCAGCCATCCCCAACACCGGTTAGCATTGCACGTCGTGGTAATCGGTGTTGGGGCATACGTAACACGTGGCCCAACCATCTCAGTCGATGAAGATTAACAACCTCATCAACTGATTTACCATCATTTCATAATACCCTGCGTCTAACCTCACTGTTACCCGGTGATCCCAGCAGATGTCAACAATATTTCTAAGGCATCTGTGGTCAAATACTAGTAGCTTACGAGTGTCTTCTACTCTTAATGGCCATGTTTCGCTGCCGTAAATTAAAACAGAACGAACTGCCGCACAGTATACTCGTCCTTTTATTGATAGACGGATATCTCGCCTTCGCCATAGGTGACGTAAGTTGGCGAAAGCCACACGAGCTTTTCGAATGAGTGCTGAGATTTCGTCAGACACCAACTCATTAGGGTCGATCAGACTTCCAAGATTAGTGAAGTTGTCAACACGTTCGACTACTTGACTCCCTATCCTTAGTTCAGGTGTTGACGCAGACCAGTCCTGAAGCAACAACTTGTATTTAGAGGTTTAAACAATAAACCACATCTTCACTGTAAACCATGTGTAACTGCTAACATTGTTTGAACTATCCCCCCCCCCACCAACATGTTCATTGATAATCAAGTTAACAGGATCTTATATGTTGCTTCATTGCCTAAGAAAGGCTTGTAAAATGGTATAGACCAGTACTATTTTTTTCTACTCCAAACATTATTTGCCACTCCCTATACTAATCTCTACATTTTATTTAAACTAATTCATCGATTAAAACGGTAAACATTTCCATATCCTTTTAATTGCCCAACATATCATAATAATATAACTTCCTGTCTCTATATTGATGTACATAAAACTAGAATAATGATAATTACATTATTATTACCTGCATACTTTTATTTGTCTAGTTCATAATGTCCCCTTTCATCAATAATGTCTGGTCATCTTACTCTCTCATCATCCACTACACACCATAAATTCCATCTCAGTACTTAACTCTCTATCTATTTAGACTGCTATTCTGTGTATACTATATCTCTGATCTTTTTATCTTGTACTGGTGAAAAAACAATTAAAGAAGAGGGAAAATCAAAAATAGCCTATTCCCAAATCAATTCAAATATGTTTGTGTATCTGTCTGGAAAAAATACACTTTTTTCTAGTTTGTTTCGTCCCCACCAGAGTTTTATTGTAAGCTTTGTTTTATTTTCATCTATGTCCGACATGACCTAAGAAACAATGGCATTGTCTTTGCCGTCACTGTTATCATCATCGCCTTTCAGTAATTGAAATGATCCCAGAGATTGTTTTCATAATTCCGAACGGAGCTATAGGCATCATTATCAACGATTCGATTTAATAATTTCAAATAGACTGAACATTTGAATTTCTACAAACACTATTTGAATAATGAGCAATAGGATTTCACAACCGTCAACACAGAAAACAGACTCGTTGTTGTACAAATAATGGACATTGAAAAATCATCTTTGAAATCTTATCACTTACTCCTTAGAATATTAGCACCTACCTAACTGGTATATAACACAGTCCAACAATAGAAGCAGTTTCCTTTACAAGTTTATTCTGAAGATTACCAGCCACATGAAACAGATTACTATTCCAAACTATTATGTCATTTGATGAATTAGTGTTAGTTGTTAAACAGATAAATTTTATTCAGATTTTCACAATATTTTATCCAGTGTGTGTGTGTCGACTAAATCACTCTTACGCAATAAATCGCTTCTCATTATACTAGTTAGTTACTTTGATGCTTCTATTCCCTAAGTTTACTAAACTTATAACCACTGTTTACCTCATAACAATTGACATCCTGTTTGTATTGCATATACATATCCTGATATTCAAATGTTTTTGAAGGTGTTTTTTATTCTATTGGAAGTAAATAAAGTACTTTTAATGAATAAAGAAAATGTTTCCTTTGAAAGTCAGCATACATTAATAATTATTATTAATAATTGTAAATTTATTTTAGATTGCACTTATCAATCGTACTGATCAAAGTACACGTAATCAATCTACTCCGTTGATTTCTACATCTCCACCTCATTGTGCAGCTTATATAAAATTAAATTCAACTGAACATGCAATTCGTCTATTAACTGAATTACGCTGTTCCAAACGTTATTCATCTCCTACACCATCGATCACTACTACAGCTTCATCAACAACAGGAATTACAATAACTGGTCAAAATGTAAAAACTTCAACACGACGTCCTATAGCAGTTGATTTTGCTAGTCCTAGACAATCAAGTATTGTCACTAATCTACAGTTAAATGCGTCAAGGTATGTATGTATATATAAGCATTTGGTTTAGTTACTTCTTTTTTTAGGAAAAAAAAGTGAATGTATTAAAACATCCTTCTTGAATAGTTTTCATGCTATTTACTCTCACTTACATTGTTTGCTAACAATATCATATCTATCATTCAGATTGTTTTTTTTCTCGGGACTATAGTTAACTTGAGTTGGTGTTTCACAACTATCCTCAAGAATAGACATTTGCACAGATCCAATTTTCAAGGGTATAGTCTTCAAATGTTTCCGTCATGGACAAAAGGTATATTAACGATTGGAAAAAAGAGTTAGATAACGTATTAAACACTAAATGATTGTTGAGTAATAGCTTATGTCTTATTTGTGCTATATAGAGATTTTACACTAGTTATTGGTAATTGACTCCTAGTCTGAGTGTTTCAACATCACCTACGCTGTATTTTGATATTGCAGAGTAAAATCGCAAATCATCTATAACATTCAAGTATTTCTAGTTAACAGTTATATTGAAAAAGAAAACAGTTAAACAGAATCTGGTCTTAAATGACCAATAGTGAACTGTTTCGCCCATTATTATTTCTTGTGTGCCTCTCTAAAATGCGTATTTCATAGTGTTAACAAATGTTAAATAAGAAGTTGATTTCCCCTGTTTGCTTCTTTAAACTGTATGTCCTCATTAGTTCATTATTTTAGGACTTAACTTTCCAAAAGTAACAACTTTAATCTTGCTTATTTTTATCTTATTTTTACCTATTCAAGATCATCTTTAAATTCTCATCGTGTTCGAATTATTTCATCATCCAACATTGTGGATCGATGGGATTCATCAAATAAAACCAGTAATTTTCAACCACCTACCGCTTCTACAGCAATCACGACATTGACTTCGAAATCGACTGATTGCAATAGTCGTAATTCTTCTCCGGTTCCGTATACCCTCTCACTGTTCACTCAACATTGAATACTAACACTAAGACTTCATATCGAACGTCAACACAAACATTAACACATCACACCTCTGGACTAGCCTCTAATCATAATAATCAAAAAACCAATTTGCTTAGTCATCCTTTGACAGATGTCAATAAAGAAGTTAACGAGGTGAAGAATGGTAGTAATTTGTTTATAGAAAAACAGTCTGAAATAATTTCAAGGGAATGTTCCAATCGAAAGTCATCACGTTTAAAATCTATTAATCAATCGAATCAATTATCAGATCGTACTTATCACCATCGGTTAAAACGATCACATGACAGTAGCCCGAGTAGCTTTAGTACCAGTAGCAGTAGTAGTAGTAGCAGTACAAGTGTGAGTAGTGATAGTACTAGCAGTAGTAGTATTAGTAGTACATCAATATCATCCTCAGGAAGCTCTATAAGTGCTTCATCTGGAGCATCTTCTAAATGTACTGGTTCATCAAGTCGTCTTACCAAGGTTCCGTCTCTAAAAAGTAACCATAAATCAAAGTCCATCGATGCACATGACAACAAACGTTCAGCTAAACTATCGGAACGCAGTTCATCCTCAAATTGCGGTCAATTAAAAGTTCATAAATCTCTAAGTACTGGAAAACTCAAAGAAAATAAGTCCTGTAGAAAAACTGATTCGTCACACTCGTCAACCACACAAAGTTCAAAGTCTGCTGATTCATATTCGTCGTGGCTAGCAGATACACCATCTGATTCGTCTTTTGTTCAACAACCTCTAAGAGTTATGACAGTCAATTCATCCGTTTTATCACCTATTCGTAGTTCGGCCGCTAGTAGCGGTGGCCTCTCTAGTCCTGGAGGATCTTCCTCTTCCATCGTAGGAAATAATAATATCCGACGAACGCCGAATAATGGGTGTGAAACTCTACCTAACGGTTGTCAGTCCGAATTTATTGGTCCAGTACCTAATCATCACTCGTCTTTGAGATTATCGACATCCGCACAACCACTCACTCATACGCCTACAGTTTTAACTATGAGCGAGTTTAGAGTTAGTCCAACTCCAACAGCTTGCTCTGTCAGTGCCAGCAGTGGAGTAAGCAGTGGTGGTCCTAGTTTCAGCAGTACAAATAGTAGTGGAGGAGGCAGCACTGGTAGTAGTCCATTAACAAGCAATAATTCAACAACGAATCACTTTCAATCTGTAGTCATCTCTAAATCTAACTCCAATAGCCAAATTAAAGTTACTTCGTCATCTCCTTCATTGAAACGCAATGTTTCACAATCTAATGGTAATGACAATTCTCACTGTGGGAATACAAATAAATCGCGAACATTCAGTGACTCTCCTTCAAGCTTAAAACTTCATTTATCTTCTAACCCTGCATTGGCTTCATCCTCCCCAGGTTCAAATAGTCCCTCATGTACTTCATCTACAACACCGTTAACGGTTTCAATAAAACTTACTGGTATTAATCGATCGTCGCAGCCTAGTAATTTAATTTCTCCTTGTAGTCTTTCCGAAAATACTGAGTTGTTTATGTCAAACCAAGATAAACAAAGTAATGATTCACTGCCCTTAACTCCAGTTTCAGCTCCTCCGCTTAGATGTAAAACATCTCGACATACATCTATTGATCCTAGACGTTGTAATATCGGAGTAGAAGCACCAACTGTTGGTGGAGCCACCAATGATATTACAGATTGGTGGAGTAGCGGATCACCTGTTTATGAGTCGATGTATGATAAAATTAAGCGTCGTACAAATAAAGAAGCTGAAGAACGACGTCAACGACAACTTGAAAGTTTTTCTACCAGAGAGAAAAATAGTAAGAAACAAAGAAAGAAAGAACAATCAAACAAGTCTCCACCACAATCCAATATTAATAACAGTGTTCCCATTTCTTCTCCAGATTCGTTTAGTAATGAGCAATGTGGTAAAATTAATAACACATTTTCATTAAGCGGAAAATCACATCATTCTGTTAACTCAAAATGTAAATTAGATGCTAACCGTTCGTCTAACAAGAAGCATAGTAATCGTCAAAAAAGTGACACTGTTTCAATGCATTCTTTTCTCAGCGATAGTAGTCATCTATCTCAATGGCACTCAACTCATATACATACTGATAAAATTTGCAACGATACAAATGGGTCACATCTTTTTTCACGAAGAATGTCCAGAAATTTAAACTCGAGAAATAAACGTCGTCGAAGTATTGTCAGCTCTTTATCATCTTCATTATCAAGCGAAGGTGAATGTCACTCGAATTCTCCACCGGAAACTTTAACTCGATTAAGTTTGGGCATGCGATTCCCGGTCTCCGCTACTTATCATGAGTGTATTCGACCAAATAAACCTTCCACTGCTGCCTCCGCTGCTGCGGTCCCAAACCGTAAATGGTCAAATCACCACCTTAGTGATAATGATGATGATGGTGGCGAAGATGACGATGATGATGCTTTAAGTCAGTTAAGTTCATCTTTATCATGTTCAACTAATGATAGTAAACTAGATCCATCAAATTTAACAAAACGAAAACTTCATTTTTCAACAAACAAGTTGAATCAGTTGAAAAATACAAATTTCTCAAGTTTTAATTCTTCTAATCCATTCAGTCGTAATAATAATTATGATATAGATCATCACCGATCTGGTGAACCGAACAAAAAGTCCATTAGTCTTTCAACTGCATTAGAATGGAAAGATACCGGGAAAAAATCAAAATCACACAATAAACAAAATAATAAATGTTCCAAACAATTACCTTCGACCAATGATAATGATAGACATAAGTCTTCAGAAAAATTATCATTTGTTAATAGTGGTTTGCTTAAAAGGCAACGTAATGAAGTTCTTTCACCAAGACCCACAACTACCGATCTACATCCTAATAAACGTAAAAGAGTTTTAACTACACTACAAAAAAATATTGGTGAAAATGATTGTCCTAACCAAATCTATAATCATACAAATCATCATCGACATTTCACCTCACCAAAACACCATCATTCAACTTATCGAAAACAACACCATATTCACAGTCCAAAACCGTACTTTTCTGATGATGGTACCATATTAGATTCTGAAGCAGAAGATGTGAAAGGCAGCTTTATAAGTTCTGATTCAGTATCTCACACTACTGGTACAAGTGATCATCATAGTATGAAAGATTCTTATCTTCATCATAGAGGAGGAGATAGACAAATGTCATCTCCTGTACATAGTGAGACTGATGAATCCAATGTATTCGGTTTAGATTCACATATTCACAGTCCTAATTCTAGCCGTTGTCATTCAGACTACATTAATAGAAAACAAAAAAAGTGTTTGAGTAATTTGTGCACCATGAATACCACTACTGCTAGTACTCTTCAATCTAGAGATGCAGATGGAGATTCTGCATTTGATGCTCTCCTGGATTCAGACCGTTTTTCTGCCAATTCCAAATCTACTATATCTACTGAGCCGATGGAACAATGTGAACTTGATGAAGATGATGATGAAGATGCAAATAGTCCATGCTTGAAATTCACTGATGGTGAAGATGATGATGAATGGCGTTCTGGTATAGCATCAAGTTCACCGAATCCAGTTCATTTAGAATTTGATGATGGTGACGATGATGATGACGACGACGATGAGGGTTGTGAATTGTTAGATAGTAAACCTGAACCAAATACTGTTACTTATCAATCTGATTCATTTGTAGAAAAATTGTCAAATTCCATTATGGAGTCTTCAGATGAAGAGAAACCTCAAGATACTACTTTAAGGCTACAATCTTCTATCAGTTTGAATAATCAGCATTCTTTATCTTCTTGTTCATCATGTGGTACAGGTGAAAAGAAAGTTGATAGTAGTTTTAATGTATCCATTAATGATAACGATAATGATAATCACGACAAATTAAATCGATGTGATTCACCCACATTGTCGAACAAAATGTCTCCAACTGGTGGAGATCAACAACTCCATTCTGATGAACATCTATCAATCAAGCCAGAAACGACAAACAAGCAACCGCTGAGTTCTGTCATGATTGAAGAAATTTCAACCAAAGTTCCTTCTCCAAATCCAACTGAATCAAAATCTAATAAAGCAGAAAATTGCTCTCCTCCTCTCTTACAGACCATTGTTGTTTCTCAGTATTCTACTGTTCATAGTTTTGAAAGCAATAATGTACCATCATTAAGTAATAATCATGACGATGTTGACCATTCAAATACAACAGGAGCCATCAGTTCCTTTAAACCTTCAGCTGAAAATGTTACAAATAATGACTCTTCTACTGCATACATTACATCTTTAAATAATACTGCAGATTCTCTAAAAACTAATTTATCTTATTCTACTCATTCAGAAATAACAGTAGTCAATGAAACAAGTCTTGCCAAGGAAATAACAACAAAATTATCTCCAAAGAATGATATTTTTCACCAAATATCTTGTGTTCCTACATCTATTATTTTCACTCAATCGACATCATCTGTCTCACCACATGATTCAGTCTCTTTCAGTTCAGTATGTACATTTCCTAAATTAATTAATTCTCCCCTAATTCTTGACAATAAACCTGTAAACTTTAAAGCTCGCGAAAAATCACCTGAAACTGTCATTCAAGTAGATCATACAGTTCCACGTCAAACATGCTTGAATAATGTAAAACCGATGACATCTATATCGTCTTCAATGTCATTGAATTCTCAACCGACTGAAGTACATGATATTACTCGTTATGTTCAAAGTGTTATTGAACGAGTTAAGGCTGAACGTGTTGAAGAAAATCAACAGGCAGCTGCGGCTGCTGCTCATTGTCACCATTCTACTCACCATCCAACTACCTCTTCAATGTCGGTTCCTATATCAACTTTATCGACTATATCCATGAATCAAACACCTAAAGTTTACAACGAACAAAATACTTTGCCTGGAATGGCTTCACCTCATAATAGGCGATCATACAGTGGTCAACGTCGTTCACTCCTTGTTACTGTAAGTACATGTTCTCCATCAAAAACTAATTCTTCGTCTAGATCTGCGAAGTTAGTAAGTCCTAATGCACATATGTCTGGTCATCCTGTTGCGACGTGCAGTGTTGATTTACCAAGTGTTCATGTCCCTAATCCAACCATACCCTGTACATCTGGTTTACCTCATCCTAAAATATCTTCTGATTTACAACTACCCTCTATTCCGGGAGTCAATGCTTGTGCACCCCTCAATTTACCTGTTGGTCAGGTGAATAGCACTCGTGTAACAAGGCAGTCATGTGGTATGCTCGACGGTTCACAAACATCTTTAAAGCGATCTGATATTTGTCATAGCAATTTAGATACATCTACTGCATTACCCGTTAATCATGCAAGTCGTCGTCAAAGACGTTCTGAAAGTAAGGCAATATCAAACACTGTTCCTGTGTTAAAGGATACCACTGTGTTTTCATTTTCAACACCTACAGTTTTAACATCTTCAACTGTAGTTAATCCGACTTTACTTCCCGTTTCTTGTGCTCCATCAACTCTATCTACTAAATCAACGGAACCTATTATTCCAAGTCATTCTGTGATAACGACAAGTTGTTCCCAAATTGCGCATAGTGGTGCAACGTTGTCTTCGGCTGATTGTGTACAGAAAATGAAAAGCTGTAATATTCACACATCTGTTGATCCTTATGAACCGAATTTTGATGAAGAATCACCAGTTGGTTTCAATCCAGCTCAGTTACATCATCATCGATCATCTCCGTCATTATGTCCATCTCCTAATTCCACTCACCAAACTCGTAAAACGCCTTGTACTACAGCTGAAAACATGACTACCACAAATTCTCAATCTCTTCCTTCTACAACTGTGGTGGTTGCCTCGTCATCTTCACCAATTAACTCATCACCAGGACTTGTAGTGTTAGATACGAAATCTGTCAGACATCCTGAGATAATTTCATGCACCACTACTGCTCCATTATCTGTATCTGAATCTTCTGTGTTGAATGTACCACCGGCCACTTTCTGTGTTACTTCTAGCCAGTCTGTTGATACAGTAGATGAAGTGATTAGTGATGTATGTGCTGGTCATTTTGATGTTCAGAGTTATCTCAAAAATTGGTCATGTAATACTGTTAGTAGTCCTGCTACTACTACGATCGGAACAACTATTAATACAAGTAATATTCAGTCATCTAAAATTTCCGTCAACAATCCATTACCACATGAATCTATATCGTTACCTAGTATTTTAACCAGTATATCAACGTGTACTCCAACCATTACTACTACTACTGCTGCTACTATTACTACTACTTTCCCTACTATAAGTATTACAACTAGCCAGTCATTACAAACGGTTAATTCAACAATAGTAACTAATATATCAAATACCCCAACAGGAATACCATTTTCTCTTCCTATAACTAGTGAACCAATTGTAGCCGCTGTTACAATCCCGACTGGAAAAACTAGTAATTTAGGCAAGAATGATTCAAGAAATCCTATCAATATTGGAACAGGAAGTGCAGTTCTCAATACTCTTCTTGCTGCTTTACAACTTATACCAGGTAGTCAAGTAACAGTGACTGGTCCAGCGGCAGCAGCTGGAGTTGTTGGTAATAATAATTCACGTACAATTTCTGCAGCCACTATTACACTACCTGTGAATGCAGCTCAACAGGCTGCTGCTAATATAAAGGTTTGTTAATATTTGTTTTCATTTCATTTGAACTTTATTTAATTATATATTATTTACGGTCATTTCTATTCAAAATGAATAAAATAGTTAGATAATCTCAGACTTTAAACAATAATTTATCACTTTGATCTGCTTTTTCATGAATAGCTTTTGGTGTAAGACATTTATTTTTTTTATTATTATTATTAGCTCTATTCAATATTACATTTTTGGTATAATAAAGTATTCTCAGTACACAATATTTCAGCGAGTGGAGAAGATTTGTAGCTCAGTGAATGATTTTAATGGAGTTTTGTTCTCTGAGCTGGATGGTTTGGTCGTGGAGCTTTCATCGTTCTTCTGAACGACATCAGCACACATTAGGTGTACCAAGCTGTGAACCACATATAGAGAAATTCGAACGCTTCACTTCTATCTGAAGTTTGTGCTGATGTCGTTCAGAAAAACGATGAAAACTCCACGACCAATCCATCTAGCTCAGGGAACAGAGCCGCATCAAAATTTCAGCGAGTTTCCGTTTCTTAGTTCTTGATCAATATTGAAGATAAATATTGGGTGGCCACCAGTTAGATATGAGCATTTCAAAAGTTGACATCTGAATAATATTCATTCTTTTCAATCCATATCGCCAGCCATCACAATGTCTCCGATTGTATATTTTGTAACTTGTACAGCGTACCTGGATAGGTTGTGCAATTAATTGGCATAATGATCTGTTAAAACAAGCAAGGAAACAGATGACTTGTTGAAATTTCTAGACAGTAGGAGCAGGTAGCCCAGATATTCAAGGAGGCCACCTTATGTGCTAACTTGAATTGTGACACACTTATTTCATTCAATAAGTTAGTCATCATGAACATGGGACTAAAGTGCATGTGATTTTAGACCGAATTGTTATAGCGCATTAACACTGCAAGATGAAAATAACATGAGTTAGAAATAATGTACTAACTAAATTGTGAGAAAGACTGAACATTTGATAACATAGTTAGAGAAAATGAAGCTGCTACAAAATAACGTAATGGTTAGGCTTTCAAATTATAGTGTTCCAATAGAACTATATTGGCTAGAATACGTGTTCTTTTAAATCCTGTCATCTCAGATACGTCAATTGCAGAGTAGTAAAACTGGAAGCGACAAACTTGAGGCCCGAGAGAGTAGAGTAGTACTCCGTAATGTGCAAAGTTGTGATAATATATATATATATATATAAACAACTAGCATCTCTAGCGACACTGTCTTCCCATAACGGAAGGGAAAATGTTCGAATAGGTCGTTCATTGAAATACTATAATTTGCCTTGCTACAACCACCTCCATACTTTAACAGCACTCGGAATCTCTTTGTTCACATTCTAATACCTTTCATACTATATTGACTATGACTGATCGTTTATTTTAAATACTTAACTTCCAACCACAATGTCCACATATTTTTGAACCTGGATCCCGCACACATATTGCATAGGCGCGTGCTTCAGCTTAATAATTGATGTATGAACATCCAGTCGGTCGTTGAGTTACATTATTGTCTACCAATTTCAATGAAAATGTTATTATTAGTTTCTTTCTCCGAAATTGTAGAACAATCAGTTTGTATGTGTATTCTCGTGACCATATGAAGTGATATATGGTCATAGAGTAGTATCGGAATTTTAACTCCAAAGTAACTGATAATGAAAAGCAGTTGTGTTTTCCAACAGGTGATTACAACCAAAAAGGGCTTTACTTGTTCTCGTTTTTTTTCTTTTTTTGAAAAAAACTATGTCAATATTTTATAGTTAAATGTAATTCACCTCAAAATGCTCACAATAATCATGCTATTCTATGTTTTCCATGGTTACATTTGTTTGTTTGTTTTTGTTGTTGTTATTCATTTCCTAAAACCGTACAGGCGGCTGTTTTATCTGTCACAAATCCGAACAATAGTCAAGGGAAAGCAGCTAACATTAACTGGAACCAACAAGATTCATTGAATATAAACAAAAACACGACTGAATCTACTCACAGTGAAACTAAAGTTTCACATGGAATTTTTACTCCACCAATTTGTGTAACCTCAGCAAATTTAACCAATACCGCACATAATAATCGTTTAACTACTACTACTCATCAACTCAATACTACACCAGTAGTTTCCATGTGTTCAGTCGCTCAGTTACCGTTTAATAATAACATCTACGTAAACAGTAATATAAACAATACATCTTATCAACATCCTAAGATATTGCAATCTGGTTGCACAATGAGTGAATCAGTCACTTCGATTACAACAACAACGTCTCAACTTTATCCTTTACAAACGGCAATGGAGTCTGCACCCGTGAGACCGCATTTGGCATCGGCTACTACAGTTACTAATAGTACTATTGCTAGTAATAGTAGTAGTATTAGTACTACATGCGATCAATTATTGAATAATGCGCCCGTATTCGCTTCGTGTGGTAAATACACTAGTGTTACCCCGACACCAATTTCACAACATTCCTCTTTGGTGTCTCATTCTCAACAAAATAATAACATATGCACAACAAAACAATCATTCGTTCCACCTTCATCACCAATCGTAACTAACGGTACTAGTCATCCTCAGATTACTTCAAGAACTGTCTCAAATGCGCCACCTCCACCTACATCACCAGTTGTACTTGGTCGAAATTCTGCTGTTTCACCGTTAGCCAATCCTGTTTTGCAAACATTAATCGATCGGCTAGGTGGTAATGTTGAACCTTCTGTTGCCATTGCATTATTTCATGCAGCTCTCAATGGTTCTAATATGAGACGTAACCTTAATGATAATACAACCGATACACAAGTTAATCCTTATTTAAGACATGTAGCTCAACAGTTTCTTGATAATCGGGGTTGTAGTGGTCCTGTCAAACCATCGATTCCAATCAGTCATTCTGAATCTCAAGTTCACTCAGCTAGTAGTATATGTGCCAAAAGTTTGTCTCCATCGCTAACTATGCAGCATATTCCTGTGACTAATATCACTTACAGTTCAAGTCCTCATCGACCTCCAGCTTCGGGACTTCCTTTCGTTTCTCCTGTACTAATCAATCCTGTAGATCCTGACATAGTTCAAGTTGATCCTAGTAGCAATAATATTATATCTCCACCGGTTGTCTCATCTCGTCTTCCAGGATCGGACCCACCTCCAATAAATAATATTACTACTAATTCTGATGCCCAATCTTGGAACACGCTTGGTTCAGTAAGTATCTTTTTGTAAACTTACCGTTGTTAACATAGTTTTCGAAGGAATTGCTTTTTAATACCGATTTCACTTATCTTGAATATGGTTCTCATATTCTTTTAAATGTCATGGTAATGCACATTAATAACTTGCACCAATCCACATTTCTTTCAGGTCCCTTGCTTGTTTATAACTAAATGACTAGAATGTCATCCACAACGCATCTTAATTAGGAAGTTTTAATGTGAATGTTACAATAAATAAAGCTAAAAGGATCAATATAACATTTGAGAATCATAGTTGTGTTTCACAGTTGTATATTGTGAAATGTGGTCGAGTTCTATTTCTATGTTAATTATGGTTACCCTCTTCACTTGAATATTCATTAAAATCTGGTCATACAAAAAAATTCTCCAATGCAAATCACGGCTACATCCGCTTCTAAAGTTTCGATATCTTTTAGTGGCGAACTTTGTAACAACATTTTTTTTACTGAATGACGTTACATCACTCAACGCACTGAAGTTAATACTTCTTACCACATTGATTCTAAAGATCAATTTGTTTTTTAGGTATCGCTTAGAAAATAAGATTTTTAATAATTTCCAATCATTCATTCAAACCTAATTAGTTTCGGTCTGTCTAGTTGGATTGTAACATTCAAATTCACAAAATTAGCATATCCCACAAGTAGTTGGACAAACTTGCGTTTTGGTTTATGAACCTATAAAATCTTTCATTATTATAAGACGAAACGATAATTTTTTTTATTACATTAACACGAGGTTTATTTAAATGTTTTTACAGTCCTATCCTTTAGTTTGGCAAGGTCGTTTATCTTTGAAAAACATGGAAACTCGTGTCGCTCTACATTTTGTTCAAGGAAATCATAATTTACTTAATGCTTGTATGACGTTACTAGCTTCTGGAGGCGGTGGTCAACCACAATTCTCCTTAATCACAAGTGGTGGACCTTTACGTATAGTTCAAAGAATGCGATTGGAACCAGCACAACTAGAAGGTGTTCAACGTAAACTTAATCAAGAAGGTGCTTCATGTGCTTGTCTAGCGCTTCCTGCTGGCAGTAGTCCTGTTGAGTTAGCACAACAAACTCAAATATTAAATGAAAATTTCATTCGTTACATGCAAGAGAAAATGGCGGCTGGTATTATCAACGTCGGGCATCCAGATTATCAACAAGTAGGTTGAGTTTGGTTTATTTCATTAGTTATTCATTTCACAGGTTGATACCGTGTCTTCGCTATGTCACTCGTAGCTTCCCTTTAAACTAATCCTTCATTAGTTAACCACTGAGCAGCAAATTAGTTCTTAGTTGGTTATACAGTAAAATAAATCTGAACCACCTCACATGATGACCTAAATGATTTTTTCTTATTTGCCTAATACTCTGTCTAACCTCTCAACATACACAAGCAAAACTTCAATGACACTTGTAATCAAATGCTAATACTCTACATATGTTCTCCAATTTTAAACGATATGTTTTACAAATCGAAGAGTATAATACACAGTCAACTTCTATATTGTAATCTCAACATACTTGTCCTTTTTTCGAATAAAAAAAAAACTACCTTGCTCTGATGATTATCAACCTATATTGAACAAGTACTATAGGGAAACTGCCTTTTTAATAAAACTAAACTGTATATTTGTTTATTCTAATTCAATAGAATAATCTTGAATATCCGTTATATTAATAATAATAAGAAGAATTGGCATTTCAAATTCTTGTTTCTTTTCTCTCCTTTTACTTTTTAACTAATCTAATCATGAAAAATACTACTGCTATATCTTGTCGGTATACAATTAACCAATTCATCAACTTATTTATTGATTTACTAAAGGCACATGATGACGATAAGGCTATAGGGCGATTACCTGAATAAGATGAAAGAAGAGAAGATAGAGGTTTTATCATTTCTATTTTCACTATTCATTATTCTTTTTGTTATGGTCGTTTTGCCCATTTACATCTGCCCGGGCAAATTGTATCGATCGATAAGATACTGATCTTTTTGGCCTATATATATATATATATATGTAAAACACTGGCATCATATAACCATTAACCATTGTCTCTACTAATCCATTTTTGGACTGAATAAAATCGATTATATTGATGCAGTCTGACCTATGCTGATTTGTGATTGGTCGAATTTCAATCATTTATTTGTTCGTATTTTAACCATGTAGCAAGAGACAGAAAAAAAAATTACAGCCTAGGTTAGACACGACTGGCCTAAAATAAATTCTTTTTTCTAATCTTTGCCTCTTTTTAACGTCTCTCTCTCTCAACACACACACACACACACTATATTTTCTTTCTGTCTCAGCAATCGTTTGTGTTGTGTACAAAGAGAGATGTCGAAAAAAAACTGCTTTGTTTTCAATGTTCTTTTGTTGGACTAAATTAGAATCGTTATTGTTATTATTGTTATTATTCAGTCCAGACCATTGATGAAGATGATGATCATATATTAGGCGAATAATCTTGAAGCTTGCTGTTTGTTCGTTTGTAAAACAAGATTGAAAGAGGTGAATGATGATGAAATTGTGTATAAAATGAAAGAATTCTATAGATTTTATTAAATAGTTTTCTTAAATATTTTATTGAAAACTAGTAAAAACACTTGATATAGAAATGATGATATTTAATTACGTTGTATAGTTTCTAATGAATAGACTGTTTTCTGCTTCTCAGTTCATGTCAACACTTATGCTTCATATGCAAATACTCTTACTTTATACTGTTCATCTGAACCTTGTTGTGACAGGTTTGGATCTTGATGTTTATCATAACCAATGTTTGGAATCTAGATGACATCGCATAGATCGATTCTGGACCATGTCACCCAGAGTCTCTAACCATTGGTTACGATGGTCACTTGGACCTCAATCAAGTAGTCTGCATCTACCAACATGGCTCAGACTAGAAGTTAGTGTCTTCAAGCACTGATGCCACATTTTGGTTTGGCCGCCCCTAACTTTCTTCCAACCGTCTCCAACACTAGTCAGCAGCATTGTGCGTCGTGATAATCTGTGTTCGGGCATACGCAACACGTGGCCCAACCATCTTAGTCGATTGTTATTATTTCTGCGACGAATAATTCCTTGTGGCTTTTCTGATCTTATGGAACAATATGAACTGATGCTTATATGTAACAGGTTTTATGCTGTTGATGACGAATGAAAAAGATTGATTGGAAGAAATAACTTTCTATCCTTCATACTTTTTTATATCAGTAGGTAGCAGATTCAAATGTTGCCTAGTCGATTTTTAGTGAAGCTTTACATATTGTACTTCGTTTTTTACTTCTTCCGTAAAGTTTTTTTTAATACACTTTATTAACATTCCAGAATATAATGACTGTATGTTTCTTTCATATATTTATATACATATAGGGACTTTATGTTGTGCATATTTTTCCACCATGCGATTTTTCCCATGCACAACTTGGCTTAGCTGCTCCGGATCTTCATAGACGTGTTGTACAGGCGAATCAATCTCATTTACTAGTTGTTATAACAACAGTTTAAATGAATGTCTCATCTAATCATCTAACGTATTTTATTGGATAATATGTATACTATAACTTGATTTTTATGAAATTAGTTGAATGATTTATTGTCAGGTGAGTATATTTACAAATAAGTAATCTAATTTCAGATTTAATCATCTTTAAACTATTACAATGGTTGCATTCATTCTCTTGATTCTTTATAAACTCTGTTTGAAAATGTTACCATAATTCAAGGGTCATTAATATTGTTTATATGTTAACCATCTTGTTATCTAAACCTTAATGATCAGCGTACGTTCGCTTAATTAGCATTGTCTCCAATCTAATTAACTTCATAATTCATCGTTATCCAAATTATTCATATTGTTTGAGAACACGAATTTATCAATGTTAGACCACTATTGAAAACCTAGAAGCACTTGGCAGTCTTTTCGTTCTAGTATGAGACTCCCCAGCAGCGCGCATCCATGATCCCGCATGCGGGATTCCATCTCAGAACTTTCGGTCTCGCGCACGAATGCTTAACCTCTAGACCATGGATCTGACATTCAACAGTGTTACTGACATATTGTGTTTGTCATTTACATTGAATTGGTATTAATATTAACAAGCAAGTTTCTCATGCTACGATTTAATCTTCGTACATAACTAAACATGTGACACATAAAAATGTGTTTTTTTCTTTCTTAACCGAATTATATTTCGTTATTTGCATTAGAATTATTGGGTCCATTACATTCAACTAGTCTCGTTGATAGGTCATTACCAATATCGGGAGTGTATAGTTTCTTAAATTTACATCTATATAGCTTAAAAGTTGTTATATCCATCCCATTCTGTGCCTGTTGCACAGAAATCAGACATATGTAAAAATTTCGATAATGATATTAGAAGACGAAGATTATCAGAACTATGTGATATATTAGCGCAAACGTGGTTTGATAAGGTGTCTTTTCAACAGACTCGACCGTATTTCTACCAATGACGCCATTGATGATGATGTTAAGTTGTTAAATAAAACGTTAATAGAAAATGGCTATCCTCTGAAATTCATAAATAGATGGAAAGTCCATGGTTCAGCGAGACCTACTGTAGCCTCGGTAGAGAAAAAGCCCGTCTACATCACCTTACCATTCAGAGGTGATTCAAATAACCTTTTACTAAAACAACGACTTAAATCAGTCATCAATAAAACCTATTGCGCATCAAAGGTCGTCATCAAAGAAAGAACAAGGTGCATGCTTCATTCAAAACCTAAAGTACATGGAAACGATTACGTCACATCCCACTGTGTTTACCAATTTAAATGTGTGTGTGGTCACACATACATAGGGAGGAGTAATCGTGATCTCAACATTAGGGTGAGTGAACATGTACCCAAATGGCTTCAGAAACAAATACAATCAAGTGACCCAATAAGAGCAGAGGATAAACATCCATCATGCTCTATTGCTAAACATATAATTGAAACAGGTCACAAGATTGATCTAAATTCAGCTTTTGTAGTGCTGTATAAAAGTGTAAAAGGGCGTATACTAAGGTTCATTGAAGCCTTAGCCATATGAAAATTCAAACCCCCTTTATGTGTTCAAAAACACCTTAAACCTACCCTGGTAATATTGACTTATTATCCAGAGTGATTAGGTTTCGCTTTGTGTTCACATTATTATTATTATTACTCTTATCCTTATCCTTATCTCCTCTTACCCCGTTTCCTGTCTAGTTGACCTTTTATTTTTATATATAAATGCTCTTAACAAGTATATGTGTGACCAGATTGTTCGAAATGTATTGCGCTAATATATCACATAGTTCTGATAATCTTCGTCTTCTAATATCATTATCGAAATTTATCAAAGGGACTAATTGTTTTAAATATGTAAAAATCATTAGCTCTGGAGAATGATGTTTGCGATTTACAGTGTTTTACTCCATCCTTTACTTAGTGTATAGTAATTAGAATATATCTTTCTAGTCTATTCTTCTCGTTTTATACGATATCAATTTGTTGTCATCTCAGTGATTGTATGTTTTTTTTGGGTGACTTATGAGTGTTATGTAATACGGTGCATGAATTATCAGTCTCATGAAATCAATCAACTATAATGTGCTCCTAACACTAAAATTGTCATTGTTCAAAAAATTAGTCTATAAAATACTGATATATCTAAGCCCTATTCTTTCATGTAAGTGCCTTGTCGCCGTCACCATTAACAATGTATTCTTTATCATTGTTGAATATAGAATTATATAAATAGATCGTGGAATTGTTATATATTTATTATTTTTCATTCTGTTTTTCTTTATTTAGTCCTTCACACTCATACATATAAAATTTCATTGCACATACACCGGTGAGGCACTCGTGTTCATGCATAATCCTTTTTTGTGAACTAACAAACAAAGAAGAACTCTGCTATTGGATTCTGAAATTTCTTGATATGTGAAATTCCTGTCTGGGCCTAATTCGAGAGAAAACACATCCATACATATGGGCAGCATCATCGTTTAGTATATATCTTTTTTCTTTCCAATCTACATTCTTTTAAAGAAATACACAACATAAACTGCAAGAATAAGATTATTAAAATGTTTATTGTGTATCCTGTTTCGTCCTGTTTTTTTTTATTGATTCAGTTCATTTCCATTTTTAAACCATTCTACTGCACTGTACAGTTGTGTATACGTATTTCCTTCTATCTATCTATCTATCTATCTATCTGTTTATATCTTTTTCTCCGTCTACTATATTAACTGTTGCTTTTCATTACTTTATACACCTAGTTACTGCATAGTTTGTTTCTTTAAAAAAATTTCAGGGTATAAGTTGTGTTACATCGTTTATCATCTATACCCCATTTACATATTTCTTTCTTCACTATTATTCGCCTAGAGAACACGAATTTTATTTATTCTAAATTAACCTTTAGTCATGTAAAACGCATATACACACGGGTACAAGTGAATACACACATATATACACATACAGTTGGCGCCCTTGTTTACTATTTATGTGCAATAATTCCTGTTTATAATTAGATTGTGTTCATTTCCCTTCGTGATTGTTTGTATCCAGTATCATATTTATATGTATATACATATAGATGAATAAATATAGGCATCTATATGTGTGAGTAGTTGTACTCCTTTGTTTTTACATCCCGGTGGTCATTTGTCTTAGTATCTTATTGCTGTTACATGGGTTATGTTACTATCCTGTATTTAATGAAACGTTACTTCAACATTAAGTCGTGATTATTGTTATTATCACTTTTGTTACCGTTATTAAATCAGTGCTATTCGTCTCAATGTTATCAGTTTGATCCATCCAATGTTATTTAAAAGAGTATAAAAACTAGTGGATTTTTTTAAATCACTACACATCAACTAAACCTGTTCTCTGAGGATGATTCTACCTAATACTACTACTACTACTACTACAACTGCTGCTGATATTGTGCTGTTAATATTCACCATGGTTACTACTGAAGTATTATTTTCACCATCAGTGATAACGACGACGGCTGCACAGATTTATTATCGTTGCTTCACTTGTCAGTTCTCCATCAAATAACACTACATTGTACATTAATAACTATTATCGTATCGTGATGATCACAATATAAAATCTTTTTACGACTATTTATTATCAATATTATTATTAATATTATTCTCACTAATATTCGTCATTACCAACATCATCATCCACTTGAGTGATCCTAACTAAAGATGCAAAAATTCAACTTACTTAAACAAACAATGTTTGCGTGTGTACAGTTATGGAAATGTCGCTTGTTTGTTTGTATTTCTCGTTTCTTGTTGTATCTCTCCTTATTTGATTTACTCTATTCACATTTTCATTAGTAAATAAGAACAAACGTGTCCGTGTGTGTATACAATGAGTTTATATGAGCATAAATGTAACTGTGTGTGTCCCTAGTGGTTCCCTGTACATTATTTATTTGCTATATTGATTGATTCCTCGTGTTACTTACTCCACTCTAGCTTGAATGCTGTTTGCTACTACTACCATTACTATTAACTCCTTTATGCAGACAACACTTGTACACACAGTTATTATATATATGCTTATTCTTTTCCTTGCAACTTTTACATTAGAAACACGAATATATATATATATATATATATATATATATATATATATACCAGTAATTGTAGATTATCTTTTTTGTTTTATTAGGTGGTTACTTACGTGTGATTTTTAAGAAATACGATCGATCGCCAGAGTATATATTTCTTTTCCCCAGTATATATATATATATATATATATATATATATATATATATATATATATATCGAATGATCTCATACTTCTCTCTGTATTCGTCTCTGTTGTTATTTCTTCTAAGTGATACTTTGTTTTATCGTTTGTTCTTTCTTTTCTAGTTCTCCTGTTCATATAGTACTGGTTAATTGTAACTATTCTCTTTTTGTCCCGTTGAGTCCTACATATAACGCGTGTGCGAGAGAGTTTGTGTTGTTTCACACTGTTTTTACTCCTGTCTATTCCTCAATTGTTTTTCTTCGTCCGCTTGCACTCATACAACTGTCAAACTTTTTACTTATGAAACAGCACTGGTAAAACTCGAACAAATTTATCCAACTATCCCTTATTATTATTATCATCATTGTTATTATTACTATTAATATTATTGTTATTACTGGTCTCTGTATCTATCTATCTATCCATCTATTCAATTTTATCTATTAGATAATTACTGTGTAGGCACACATACACAGGCGCACGTGTTTGTATTGTATAAATTACATTATCGAAAAAATGACCTTTCTCTTTATTTCTCTCACTCTCTAGATATATACTTCTCGTGAGATAGGTTAAACCAGCTTAGTTAACGGCAAGGAATGAGTAGCTTGCCTATGCTATCGCTGATATCGTCAATTCTGTTGACTTCGTAATTTTGGCTATGATTTTCTGTTGATTAAAAAAAATTTACATTTGAACAATAAGTCCTGTTGTTGTTCTTATTCTCTTAC